AATGGACCCGAGGGCTTTAGCCCGAGGGCCATTATTCATTCAGGGCCGATTATCACCTCCCGGCCCTACTCTGACGTGTATTAATGTCTTTAATACACTTTGTAGATCTAATAGATTCTAGTAGCATTTTTTTTTTAAAAAAATACAACAACAAAGTTCTTTCGTTGAAATTCTTGTCTTCTCTTCTACTGTTCTGTACAGAGATGTTTACTGTTTGTGTGTTGAAAGCAGTAGAATCTAGAAGCAAGTTTTATTTTCATTTTTTTTCGGAATGAATTTGTCATATTATTTCTTCAAATTTCAATAGTAACAAAAATGTGTTTGTACTAAATACGCTTAAGCTCTCATAATAAAAATAAAGCAATTAGTGCTGACAACCTACTTTCACTTTTACAGTTAACTGTTTGATGACGTAAAATATGACGTCATTGTTTCAGTTTGTGCACGTGCACATGTTCTGCGGGCTGATAACTAGTTCTCGGCCCCGGGCCGCAAACTCATAATAGGTCACGTGACACTCATAATCAGTTGAAATCATAGGCAATTTTGTTACTATATATAGTAACAAGTGTATTAATGTAGAATAATTAACGCTTCGGGTCTTCTTTGTTTATATAGAAACATTTCCGATAGTGTGATTTAAGGTAGTTTGCGTAATAAAAGTCTTTAAAAAAAACGGTGACAGGATAAATAGAATATTAGATTGGTGCCGTGGATGGAGAAAGTTTATCTGGCTCTGCTCCGGAATTTATTGGGTTCGCCTTCGGCTCACCCAATAAATTCCTCCGCCTCGCCAGATGAACTTTCTCCATCCACGGCACCAACCTATTATTCTCTATATATTTCACCTTGTGAACACCAAAAGTTCATATTTCACTATTTGCTGCGCCACTCGTGAAATATACCTTTTAGTGCTCACTTGGTGAAATATATTCCGATCTTACACTGAACTAAACGAATTTAATACACTTGTTACTATATATAGTAACAAAATTGTCTATGATTTCAACTGATTATGAGTGTCACGTGACCTATTATGAGTTTGCGGCCCGGGGCCGAGAACTAGTTATCAGCCCGCAGAACATGTGCACGTGCGCAAACTGAATCAATGACGTCATATTTTACGTCATCAAACAGTTAACTGTAAAAGTGAAAGTAGGTTGTCAGCACGAATCGCTTTATTTTTATTATGAGAGCTTAAGCGTATTTAGTACAAACACATTTTTGTTACTATTGAAATTTGAAGAAATAATACGACAAATTCATTCCGAAAAAAAATGAAAATAAAACTTGCTTCTTGATTCTACTGCTTTGAACACACAAACAGTAAACATCTCTGTACAGAACAGTAGAAGAGTAGAAAAAATTTCAAGGAATGAACTTCAAAGTCTATTTTTTTTAATGCTACTATTAGATCTACCAAGTGTATTAAAGACATTAATACACGTCAGCGTAGGGCCGGAAGGTGATAATCGGCCCTGAATAAATAATGACCCTCGGGCTAAAGCCCTCGGGTCCATTTTTCATTTTGCGGGCCGATTATCACCTTTCGGCCCTCTCCTGCCGTGTATTAACCTCTTATTCCTCTATGTAATAACACTGACGTGACGTCATTTGCGCTATATAGAAATATAGCGTTAAATCGCGATAATGTTAGCGTTACACTCAATCTCCACACAGTGATCTCCCCTTAATTCTTCGGCGTAGATCTCTGCCACCAAGGTCCCGATATATCAGAATTTCTGATATACTATATTTTCTCAAAAAAATGTTTTAAATATTTTTAAATAAATAAATAATATTAATATTTAGAAATAATTTTTAAAATTGTGAGAATATTTTCTACGAGACAATATTTTGATATTTTATATTTTTTAGCTTTCGAATTTATTTTTCGTTATTTTGTATACCTTTGATAATTTTTTTGATAAAATACATCGAACGTATAGGCACTAAAAGTTAAAAATAAAACAGAAAGAGAAAAATGACGTTAGATTTTCTATGTAACGGCCGATATTCACTTTGAATTTCGACGTTACGTCATGTGACTTTCATCATCATGTGACGTCTTTGAAGGCAGTGATTACAATTCTGCCAAGGGAGGTTATCACTGTGAGGAGTTTGCGTTACACTACCGCAATATGGGCGCGTCATTGAAAAATTACTCATTTTAACAGTTTACGGTTCTTATTTATATATGTGATAAATAGAATATTACATTCGTGTAGATTTAATACTAAATTTATTGAACTCGTTGAATAAAACAAAAGTATGATTTTATTCAACCCGTTCAATAAATTGAGTATTTAACTACACTCATTCAATATCCTCTATTTATCACATTAACCGCGGCGCAGGAGTGTAATTGGCGTCCGCGCCGAAGCGCGGCGCCCTTATGGAATGAAATCAGATTTTGTGAAAGGGCGACAGCAACTTCTCGAGCCTTTTAGTCGGTCATAATAAAAGCCGATCATTCCGATCGGTATGAGGGTGCTTGATTTTTAATTAAGAATGAAACGTCGAGATATGTTACAATGAATAGCGAACTGGAGAATTTCGCAATGCAAACATTTTCAAATGAAAAACCTTTACCGTCAATAAATCGCGCCCTTCGGGGTTTTTTTATTTATCATTTTGTAGTACACAGTGGGTTATCATGGTATGTTATTGTTGTACATGTATTCTAGAATGATCAGCTGAGCTGATGACCTAAATATTCCGAAAATCTATTTATAGATATATCTATTTATCACTCCTATCGGTTATTACCGGTCTCTCCCGGTCTATTTTGACCGGGATTTACTAGTGACCGGCGAATAGTACCGCACGTTTATTGCCCGGTCTCTCCCGGTTTTGGATCGTTACAATAAAAAAAACAACAACAACAACAATAGCATGTTTCATTTTATCTATATGAGATAAAAACAATAAAAATGTAAAATAATTGAGAAAAATGTACATTTTTATGGTATTAATATGACATTATCAACTTTGAAACATTTTATTTAATTTGTTATCTGTGTTTAGTAAAGATGCCGAGGAATTATTCAAAGTTACGAATTAGATTTTATGAATTATTCAATTGATCGAAAATTTAAAAAAATGATAAAGAAAAATACAAATGTACATGTACATGGTTTAAGAATAAACAATATTATATATTGAAAGATAAACCATAATTTACTGACTTTTTCCAGTTAAGTTTTGACTTATAATCGTCGGTTAATATGACAATTGAATTCTTAAAATTTATTTTACAATTTTAATAAAAAAGAGTAGTTAAAACAGCACATAAAACACAAAAAAGAAAAGAAAACAATATTCATAAAATTTGTATTTTTTTTATTAAAATTAATAGATATTACATTTATTGTATAATAAACAATTATGCTCAACATGATCAACATGGTAATATAACCAGTGTCATATTTTTACTAAGTGTGAACAGATACCTTAAGAGGGGGTCTTCGCTAATAGCGATAACATAAAAAGGGACAATTACAAAGGTACTGTCGTGCGTGTTGATCATGCGTTACACATATAGATTATAAATGATTGTATACATGTATATCCGTTGCTATTAACCACGATCATAAAAAAAATAACAAGTAATATTCTAATCTCTAGCATGCTTAACAAAGTTCATAATGAACAATGTTTTTCGTCCGCTCATTCATAAGTGATATACATTTCTGGTAGTTTATAAGAATATCTTGTCATCATATGTCTACTAGTTCATCTTCACTTGCTGCATTTCTTGCTTGGACGCCCTTTGATGCTTTGCATCAATGCTTTTCTTGTAAAGCCATGTAATAAAAACGATATTAAACTAGTGTTATAACACTTTGACGTGACGTCATTTGCGCTTTATATAAACATGGCGTTATGTTGGCTATACACTATAAGGCTATTGCATGTCAATGAAAAATAACTCTTTTCAACAGTTTACCGTTCTTTATTATATATATGATAAATAGAATATTATATTCGTGTAGATTCAATACTAAATTTATTGAACTCGTTGAATAAAACAATATTATGCTCCCCAGAGGCTCGCATAATATGATTTTATTCAACTCGCTCAATAAATATAGTAGTAAACCTACACTCATTCAATATAATCTATTTCTTTCATTCTAGATTTTTCACAACAAAATTCGACAAAAAAAATTATTTATCAGATTTTTCAAACAAAATGGCGCCTTCAATGTATCGGTTTGAAAAAACACAGGGAGGTAATAAGAACGGCGAGTGCATTTCTGTAGAATAATGCACGCTTCCAGCCTTCTGTGTTTATATAGAAAAAATTCCGATAGTGTTAGAATGTTTAACAAATATGGCAGCTGTTTATCAACAGACGAAAAAAGCATCTGTTTATGAATAATGATATCTGTCATATGTTGCGGTTCGGACCGGAATATCCGTCCCGAGGGGACCCGCCCATCGGGCGGTAACGAGGCTTGCCGAGTTACCGCCCATGGGCGGGTTCCCGAGGGACGGATATTCCAGTTCGAACCGCAAACATATGTTAGATATTTTTTCTTGCATATTCTGCCATATTTCAATGGATTACATCAATATGATATATGTTCATGGAAATTAAAGTCATTTCATCCATCAACTATTTTCTTACAATAGCGTATTTTAACTTACAACTTAAATAACAACGGCGAAATGACGACATCCTAAGCACATGTTTCCCTTCTAAAAAGACGTCATTTTAACGCGGTTCATTCATAAAGTGCGCTAAAATGACGTTGTTGTTTGGCACGCGACTCTTCTGGCACCCCCATGCCAGATGAAACTTCCGGCATGGGTGAAACTCACGGAAACGCAAGTCTGCTATGAAAGAATAATAATATCTGTCATATGTTGCGGTTCGGACCGGAATATCTGTCCCGAGGGGACCCGCCCATTGGGCGGCAACGAGGCTTGCAATATACTCATCTATAGGCGTATTATATACTCATCTATAGGCGTATAATATATTAAATACGTACCACAAAGATGACAGTATTGTTGACAATTCTGTAAAGCCCAGGCACTATGCATGCATACGTCATGAGTATATGCGGCACAGTTTGGTATCATGTCATAGCAACCTGAAATAATTTTGAATTTCATTTATTCCATGATATACTTAAATTAATAACCTGTATGTTAATTACATTAAATTAAAATAATCAGCATGATAAGAGTATTCATTATACATGTAAGTGAAAATTACATCTTCCTCTGGATGAATTGTATATCCATAACAACAAAATTAAAATAATGACAAAAGAACTTACTTATGTTTAAATCATTTAAAAAATAGTCGAATCCGGCAGCTTTTTATACATGTATACTAAACGTTATACCGTTTGTCCATTCTCCATGGTTTAAAAATAAACTGTTAACAGTGCAACATTTCATTTTAAAACTAAGAAATTATAAAAAGTACTTTTATACCAACAATAAATCTCTCCCTGCTAACCTGTGTTCCTTCAACCCAATGAGCCACATTTACAAAAAGAAACAAAACAAGTAACCACTTTTCCATTTCAAAGTTGAAAGTTCTGTGTTCGTAAAAGAATTGTTTACTTGGTTTATAAACCTGATAGATAAGAATAAGATAAGAATTTTGTTTTGCAGGTGAATTTCAAGTTTTGAAGATTTTTAAAGTTTTATTCAACATCAAGGCATATAATATGCATAAGGTTATGAAAGGTTAACAACATTTAATAAGTTATTCAAAAGTGATTAGCATTACATATATACATAAAATTATTTAATAAACTAACACATATAACACATATAGGTATTTGATTTAACTATACTCTTTGAGCACGATTTGACTTCCATTAATGCGATCTAAATTATTTTTATGTTAATATAACCATTATACAGATGTATCAGAACAGGTTGAGAAAATCATGTCATACAGAAGAGGACGTTATTTGTATTTTGAAATAATACGTTTGCAGAAAAATGCAAGTTTTAATAAAGTTGAATGGTCAGATATATTCATTAAAGAATTTCTAAGATATACAAGATATACACATTAGATCGATTTGAGACTTTTTAATCAAATATTTAAAAAATACGAATAGAAGTAAAAAAGTTACATTCAAACAAGTAATGAAAATCATCCCAATAGATTGTTTTGGGCATAAATGACATATTTTTTGTGGTTTCTTTCTCTTGTCCACCTTTTCATATTATTCATAAGTGATTCAAAGTTCTGGTCTTATAAAGTATTTTTTTCAAAGATAGAAAGGCGTTATTGTGGCTGTTTAAGAATTTGTACATTCTCTATACCCCAAACGTCACAACCATATTTTAAAATATGTTTGAAGCAAATGTAATTGAACAGATACGGGTAAATACAAAGTTCTTGCTTTTTAATAAAAAAAAACATAGCTCTTTTAGCCTTATCAACACGTTTTATACTTTACCAAATTCGCCATTGGCATTAAATAGTACACCTTAGTATGTGAAACTATCTACAGTTTCCAACTGTTAACCATTGAAGATAAAGTTAAGATTAAGGTTTATAGGCATACGTGAACTTGAAAAAATATCTTCGTCATAACATAACGTACTTAGTGATAAGATGACGCACATTGACACTCCTTTTAGCTATATTCGTGTCGCAGAAAACACGGTGCAAAATTGAGAATCACTAGCGGGCAACTTAAATCACTTAAAGCGATGTCCAAATTTCGGGAGAAAAAAATGTATAGATTCTTTTTTTTTTCTCCTTTGAAAATCAATATTTTTTTTTTTTTTTTTTTTTTTAATAATGTCATTCCAAATATGTGCTCTACTCTTTCTAAGTCTTGCACATTTCTCCGCATTGACTGTGTCCGAGATTTGTTTCATACAGATGTTACATTACAGAGATATACATTTAATTTAAATTATTTCAGCAGACAATAGGTACTTGAGCTGCATAACAAGATATGGTTTCGAGTAGAGCATTTCTTAAAATCCGCAGATTCTTTTCTAATATTTAAAACGAATTCTAATTACATTTTCTTTTTAACACGACTTGCATCATAGGGACGAAGCTTAAGCGATGGTGTGATTGCTTTAGTCGGCGAAACAATGGTGATTTTTTTTTTTTTTTGTTTTTTTTTTGTTTTTTTTTTATGAATTACGATCAATTATTAGACCATTTTAAACTTACAAGATTTACGAAAATATTCCACTTAATGTCTTTTTGGCCGCAATTTTAGTCGTCCGCTAATTCAACCATGCCATCACTTTAAGATGCTTTATTCACGATATTTCAACAATTTTTACACACTTTCAACTGCTTCATTTTATTTTACAAGCATTATATTCTGAACGAGACACATCACATATATAGATTTAAATTCAAAGCTTGTAAGTTTTTTACATCTAATTCAATTGTAAGCGGGAAAGATGTCGTTGATTTTTCCTCCCCAAAATGCTGTGTAACAGTTTCTCAGAGTCGGGGAAATTTGCAGAGTTCACGACTTTGCATATCTGAAAATAAAATATTATCAAAAAGTCCAAATAATGAAAAGTTACCTAGTGGTGTTTTTTTCTTTTTTTTTTTTTGTTTGTTTGTTTGTTTCTCACGACACCTTAAATGAAACTATTTCATGTTGGCATTTACGCACTAAAACTGATAAAAAAGTAACTCGACAAAATCATTTTGAAAAAAAATGATTATAATAATCTAATTTGAAAACAAAACAGATATTTTTGCTTACAGAACGTTTACAATGGTACAGTCCAGACCTTCCATCGAGACAGCGACATGTGTAGTTACAACCATCATTCCAGGAGGCCCCTTCTTGATAAATCTGATTCTTGTAGAAACATCCTGACGAGCCTAAGATATCTATATAGAATATTTATGATAATCTAACACAGAAAGCAACAGTTTCAAAACACATATTCAAACATCGTAATATACTTTATTAGTTCAAAATAAAATCAACACTGCATTAATAAGTAGATATTCACATTTAATTTCTATTCCTTATTTTCTAATTACAATTACCACTGAGGGAAATAAAGATACTCTCCAGCAATCACTGTTGTCAAATATTTATGTAATTTTAATCCTTAGTATAAATATTTGAGATATTCGTGTGCTATTATTTAATATTTACAATTTGTACATGGTCCATGATTAGCATATACTAGTAATTCAAGTTGTCTTGAATAATTGATAGCTTGTTAGATAAGGACAAAGGTCCCAAATACTTAAAATGGAGTGCGAAATCAATTTTTAATTATTCGTACCCTTCCTCTTTATTTATTTAAATATTCAGAATAAGTTGCATGACAAAACATTTTTACAGATGGACTAAAATGTCTTATAGAATTATGATAGATAAGATATACCATCAAATGACTCCAAACTTGCAGGAACAAGGCTTCTTGTCCCGGTCCCGGTTGCGTAGCTTCCAGCAGAGAAAGTTATTGCTGTATATGATAATATTAGAAATTCATTTCAAACAATCTTACACTGCTTGATGACAAACACGATGGTAATGGAAACATTGTCAACAAGATGCATTCTCAGCATTGCGCGTTAGTTTTGAATAAATAAATTTGATGTAACTGTATTTTTGTTTCAAAAGTGATAAGTTCTTGATATACCGATATATGATATCTCATTTTTCTCATACGGCGGTCATTTATTTTTAAGCACTGATAGATAACAGAGACGGAACGAAATATTTCAACAAATCAAACAGATGATAATAATACAACGTTTAACTTAATGACTTACATTATTGCATCAATCGAAAAGGTATCTTTATAGAATTATAAGAGAATTTAATTTAGTTTTAATATATTTCATTTTAGAAATTATGCTCTAAAAAGTAGTCATGATAGACTTGATAAGTTGTGAAAATAAAAATACAAATTATAAAGATATATAATATCATTTAATTTACAAGTATGAAATGAAAATAAGATTATAGTTGAGACCTTACTTTTCTCTTTTCTTATCAAACAAAATCGAAGCAACTTCTAATTCATGCTAAAAACATAGAATACGTACTACTGTGACAGAAATTACAGAATCTTGCGCAGACCTTAAGAGCCCAAACTCTAATTTCAATCGAGAAACATATCACGGTAGTGTATGCTGCACAATTTGCTATCTCGTCGTTACATGAACCTGAAGATATAAATTATCTATTCTTAAATATATACAATACTCGCTGCTAGAACTTTAATTAAAATAATCACTACATTTCCCAGGGTATTTTAAAAAAAATAAGAATTTACCATGAAAGGTTCAGGTAAACACATCCAATATACAAAACCTGTATTTTTTAAAAGAAAATGAAGGGAAAATTATTTATATTTCAACCTAAAAAAAAATAGAGAGAGAAAACTGTAAAACTCAATAACCAAACAAATTATCATATCTTTATTACAAAAATAATTTCACTTTTCAATAACGAAGAAACCAGTCTTGTAGTCAAACTGAATGTACCGCAAGTGGAATGAGCATACCATTCTTGTCTTGTTGACAACGAAAGAAAACATGTTTAGTAATGATAATCCTCACGGAGAGTATTCGTCAGCTATGTTTCAAATAAACATTCAAGAAAATTTCACCTGTTATTGATGATATTTAGATCTGACAATAAACGACAATGGAACTTCAACCTTTTTTTCCTTTCTTTTTTTTCCAATTAAAAATTATATCGTGCTCCGCAAAGTTTTATGCATGCAACCTGGTCGTTTTTACTGTTTCACCAACGACAAGCTTTAGAAAAACTTTTCGAATTAAGCGTAAATTTTCTATTTTAAAACAAAACTTAAAATACTATTTTAAGTTTTCAAAGACTTCCTTACTTCTCGCATCGACAACAAATCTCTGTCTGCTAATTTGTGTTTCTTTTCCTTCTGTCCATTGAGCCACATAAATAAACAAAAATAAAACTATAAGAATCTTTTCCATAGTTGTATTTCAAATGTCTATAAGCTCTTTAAGAATGTGTTTACAAAGTATATAATGGTGTAGATGTAAGTACGATAGATAAGGATTTTGTTCTCTGGGTCAAATTAACAACGCATTAAATGAAAAGATAACGTAGAGTAAGTAAACAATCCTTCAATTAAATCATTGTAGTAAAAGTTGTGGATAAACGGCTCGATCCGTCAATTGCGTTGAATACCAAAATAATTGGTTCAAAAAGCAGGATCAATATGATTTAGACTGTTCATGTCGTATGTATTTCACAAAACCACTTGCATCGTTGATAAACAAAAAAGTAATGAGCGATTAAGACAAATGAAAGATGCAACAACGCTTCAAGGGTTTACAATACATTTCCACTTTATGTGGACATAAATGTTCTGAGAAAAAAAGAGTTATTAAAAAGAAATAAAGCATGAATATCAATGAAAATCACTTTCATAGATCTAGAGTCAGTTTATCAGAGTGAATTTTCTCTCACGCTCCGTAGCACATACATTTCAAAGTCCTTTCCAGCAGTTGTAAAGTTTCTTTACAATTGATTTTGAGTTTATTTGAGACGACAAGATATGGAAATTAAAGTAATTGTAAAAAGGTACTTTATAGAAGTTAAACAAGTTTTCATTATTGTTCAGGTAGTCTATCAATATCAAATTTCAAGTGTGCCAAACAATATTCTTTTCCTATTTCTATTTAAATCATACGAATGGTGCTTCAGAATTAATTGAACTTCACTAAAATCTCAAATGATTCACGCAGCGTTAACCAAAACGGGTTTTCAAATAAAAATAAAAATGGATGAGGTTTCAATAAAACTAGCATACTTATAATGGTAAAACTATAGCAGGTTAACATTACAATACGTGTAGATATGACCATAGAGGTGTTGAAATTCGTACTAAAATTAAAACTCTAGACAATCTTGGAATAAATATCAAATTATTTAGGAAAATTTTGTTATATTTATATACCTAATGAACTTTCATACAACACAGTGACTAAATTAATCTATAATTTTTATTCTAGTAAGCAACAGGTCAAGGAACTTGATGGCCAATGCCAGGAACAAAACGACTAATATAAATAAGTTTCCCTGAAATTTTAACAGTAAAACCAAGGAAGTAAGCAAAGAACATGCGCGATTCGGCATACCATCGGCTATGGTTTACCTCATTTTAAAGAAGGAATTTAAAGCGAAGACGATTTGATCTCGCTATATAATTAACTTATTATTGTGCTTAAACAAAAAGAGATGTTGATCAAATTTGCTAATCTTGGGTCTTTACAGTAGATATGCCAAAAAATGGTTCTCGGAACTGGTGCTGAAACCAGTGTGCCTTTCTTTTAACAGATTCGCAAATATTTTTTTAGGTACTGTTAACTCCGCTCTGTTGGTCAGTTGGTCACGAGTCATTGCCTTGGATTTAACGACTGCGCGAATGGCTTTGCTTTATACATTAAAACTGTGCATAAATGAAATAAAATGTTCTGAAAAAATATTATGTTGCTATTTTAAGTAGGTCTTTAAAACCGTTTATCAATGATTAAGTACACGTGCCATTCGCTCAAAGGGAACTATACCAACATACGAGTATACCTTACATACACATATTGTGGATTCCCGGATCATTCTTTATAAACCTCAACTGTAGGCAGCTGAGATATAGCTTTACAAAATATCATATTTGTGAATGAAATTCCTTACTGCTTTATCTACATACAGGTTACTTGTTTCAATTGTTAAGGTGTATTTTATAAAGCTGAAAAATGGATTTTTGCAGTTTATTTTTCTGCTGTAAATAAATTAAAAGAATTGTCAATTAATGTATACATAAGTGTATCAATCTTGTATGGCATAAATATTACAAATACATTTACTTTATACAAGTTTATGCTGCATTCAAATTAGGTTGCATTGTTGAATAAAATAGTTATGGTATTGAGCAAACATGCATGTATATTTATGTATTTTGTTTTACTAATGTTTGTATTGCACAACAGTCTGATTACCTGAACCACTTGTTTGTCATTTTGAACATTGTTTAGGCATATCGGTACTATAAATAGGTCGCGCAAGGAGTCGTGCAGAATGGTTTCTGTAAGTGCATGGGTCGTTTGCCAGCCTAATTTTGCACACCACGATAGCTGCATGCGCGATAAGTTCGGATTTTTTTTTTGTTCGGGTTCTTTAAGTTTATTGGAGTTGAAGAGATGTTAATGTTGATGTTGAGCTGCTTTAGTTTAAGTGTTCAATTTGCTTTAAGACTGTTGCTAGAATATAATTATGATGCATAATTTAAGTTTAATTGATTTTATCATGCTTTCACTTTGACTTTTAATTTATTAAACAAGTATAGAGTTCTAGATGATAGACATTTTCAGCGAAAACGTGTTTAAACAGATTTTTGTTTAAAAAAGAACAAAAGTAGAAATTTCACCAAGCACTATTATATGACCGAGTGAACCGTGTACCAAAATTTTGCTGCTCCTTTAACATCGGAACACTTCGCCGATTAATTATTATCTGAGTTTATCTGGAGACTGACGAAAATAGCAGATATGTTGCTATAGTTCGCAGATGCAATTCGACCAATCAGAAGTTCCTACTTTTTAAAGAAGCAAACTTGTTATCAGTATAGAGTCATGCCATTCTGTAAATCCATGCAGTCTGACCAGGGTCTATATAGTGTTGGCTGACCAACTTTCAATTTTAATCTTGATATCTCCAAAATTGACAGTGGAGAGTTCCAACGATGGATATTATTCTTTACGTTTATAATGAAGACGTTTTATTTTAATTTCAACAGTTTCAATATTCGTCCAAAAAAATCCAATCATTTGTACAATACCAAAACATATAGTCGCGAACTATAGTTCCGCTGTTACGCAAAATAAACTAATCCGTACTATAAACTATATCATTCTTAAAATAGAAACACGGGATTTCGAGGATTTCTTTTTCTGATATTTTATTTTCTGTTTAAAAATATTATTTAATGTAATAAGTGAGTTAGACATACTTATTTTGATGGTATCAAAATGATAGTTATTTTTGAAGGTAACTTTTAACCATTTTATGATATTCGGTATTCAATCTAAAAGTAGTTATATCGGGTTTCTACATTGTTAAATAGACCTATTTTTAAAATCTAGAACAAGTATATATAAATAGATAGACCTAGCAACAACAAAAAGAAATGCATGAAATTAACTTCTTGCAATAGAATTTTAAAGATTTTGAAAAACTTAAGAACATTTAAAATGCTTTTAAAATGATATGCACAGGATCACACAAAATAAACAATTAAGAAATACTTAAGTTATATATGTCATATATAATCGTATTGATTACGTCATTATCTCATGCACTTGTATGCAAGTATTGAAAAAAAAATGAAATTGTCTCTATTTCAAAATTGATTAAAACGACAGGTCATTTTAAGTGTAAACAGTACATTTGTATTTGTAAGTTATAATTCATTATTGTCGTTATTATTGAAGTTCATCAACTATATATCGCATTTCATTGGCTTAACTACTTTTTTTAACTTGTATGATATACATCGAATTATAAAACGCTCAAAACCATTGCTTTTTTTCAAAATACTTGCCCCATGCGTCCTGGAGCAGATTAAGTATTTTACGAATATGTTTATATGAATTATTATTCCAAGCCATAAATTTATACTTCTTAACTGATTACAATCAAATCCATAATATATGTCATTCTTTTTTCTATGAAAATGCAAATTGTAGTTAATTTCTCTTTGTTAAATTAGTTCTTTTCTCCCTTTTAGATGAGTGTTAACAAAGAATACCACCACTTGATACCATCTCTGGAAGTATACCCTAGAGTTTATTTCTTCAGCAAAAGATATCATGATATAAGGGAAAAGTACAAGAAATTCGCAGGTATTTATATGATATTTTGTCTTATAATTCTAGTGTAGGCCTGAAGCAAAGTGATAAATTTTTGAAATACAGTATACTAGTATATAGTTAAAATCTCATTACTAAGATTTTTATCAGAATGGTGGCTGTGTCAGCCAAGTAAGATTTCGTACTCTATAGTTGTTCAGTCACATTTCAAGCTTAACTCTTGATTCCACTATCCTTGATGAATTATATAATGTCTTCAACTTTAAATATAAACACTGTCCGTGTCAGATTGAGGCCCAAAATATAATATGTTAGCCATTTGTTTTTTGTTGTTGTTGGGGTTTTTTTGTTTTGTTTTTTTTTTGTGAGGGGGGGGGGTTCTGAAATTTCATTGTGTTGGGAATTCGGTACTGGGTCGACACCGGATTCGAACGAACACAAAGTGACAGTACGAAATAACCAACTTTAGCTTTATCTATTACCTAGGTGTGTTGTGCAAATTGTGTTGGATTTAGGCCAAGATGAATCATCTGCATACTTAAAATTGATTATTATCATAGGTATATATATGTGTTATGTATGGGCTTTAGATCTACAGGTTTTTTCTTTATATACTAAAAGTTTTTCATTGGAGACTACCAACCCGGAAGTGAGAAACAATATACAATTATTGTTTTTCAATATGAAAACAAATAGATGCGAAGTTTCACAATGGAATTGAAATGCGTGTCTATAAAGTCATTTTTTGTATTGAGTGATAAATAACATTTGTTTGTAATTATTTCATTACAAATTGTAGGGTTAATATTATCAGTATGGAAATGAATCTTCACAACGAACGAAAGACAGAGGTGTCATGATAAGTAGCATAAATTCCCCTGCAACATGCTAAGAGCCACCCTGCTTCTTTTAATTCTGGAATTCGTACACCATCAATCCAAAAATGAACCTGACTTCTCTTAAACATACTGAGACTTCTGAAAAGTGTTCCATAGAATATTAAGATTTTGCAATTTCCGTACATACATTGTTTTCTAATTAAGCTAATTAAGGCTTCTACTAAATTTTACTTTGTATTTTCTACATTGAAATTTAATTCATAAAATGATTGTGTAATGGTCTTTCTTGTTGATCAGCAATATTTCGGTATAGAAAAAAGAAACTGCAAGGGTATCGATGTATAATGAGAATAACGTTTGCCTAAACTGTTAATTAGTATCATTACATTTGCCCTGATTAAAACTTGAAAAAAATATATTATACAGCTTTTTGATAATATGAAACTTTGCATATGACATGTTTACTTAATCTAAGATTTTATCAAAAGTAAACATCCACATATGTAGTAAATACATAACATGTTGATGCCAAAGATATTTATACAGATTAATATACATTTTGACCTCAACCCTCAACGTATTAAATAATGTACTAGATACAGTTTTCATAGAAAATAAAATTTGTAACATATAATTTTCACAAAATTTACACAGTTGTATCATGATTGTTAACAGGAAGGCAGATTGTTGTACTTACTTCATCTCACTGATAAAACTGGTCCATTTATAGATGTAGACAGCGTTATCAATATGATAGTTTTAGTATAGTATAATGTACAAAAAGACATGTATAATAATCTGTATGTAAGATATAATTGACACTATATTCAGTAGGTTACATTTGCAATTTGAATTGTATTAAATTGAGTAAGCATAGCACTTTCAGAGCCTGATATAAATAACATTCAAGATTTGTTAAAAAAACAAGAAACAACTTTTATTTCAATTTGGAGAATAACAAATGGTTATAAATAAGAAATCATTCATAAGCAAGGAAGCAAAAAAAAAAAGAATTATTTACAAAATATGTCTATGTACACTATCTAGCAAAGGGTATTCTTTTAGAAATTTCCATCGTTTTGATTTATATAATCAACTGAGATGACTATTATCGGCAGAAAAGTTATTTTGCGGTTACCATTGCTCTTTATAATTATTGAAATAATTATGTTTTGAAGAGGGCCGAAAATTTGAGAGATTGAGCGCATATACATGACTGTATCGATAAAACATTGTTGTTACATTTGCAGCAATACTTAAAACTCATGTGCATTTTTATAATAATATGTAATTATACCGAACCGTCTTTCAAGAATATTTACTTATTTACTACCAATTTCTCCGCAAGTGACCGACTACAAGTGTCACAAATCAGCTGTGGGAGGAAAATGACAAGTAGATTCAATTATTACGGAGATATTTTGCCACCCGAGGACCGAGCTAGCAACTCTTTGATTACACAATCGATATAGTTTTACCCCCATTGAATTTATCTTGCTAGCTTATTACTGCTGTATCATTTTCATTCTCTTCCTTGATATATATAATTGTATACATTAAATGATTAAATAAACGTAAACATAATTGATACTTTTAATAAACTATTTTGCAGATAAAAACCGAAAGACACTTTCTATAAATCATATCGAAGCACCACTGAATTGTACAGAAAATGGCCTAATAATTAAGGTCGTCGGAAAAGAGGACCTTGATCCAGCCAAATTCGTAGCAACTGATCCTCACTTGTTCAAAGTGCTGTCAACTTCAACTGCTGGTAACAGAACAGATATCAAACATGACACAATTGCTCCAGTTAATCCACACAAAGACTGTGTCCGGACATTTAGTGCTTCCGGACAGAAAGTCACCAAGTTATCAGATGACACTGCTGGCTCTACTTCTACAGAAGGCCAAAACGAAGCACTCAAAAATAACCCTACAACTATTATAGTTATATGCAATGCCGTTGTCGAAAGTCTAAATGACAAAGGTCTGGAGGTAAGAATTCTTTTGTTGTAGTACCTTTACCATGTCAAATTTATATCATAATAAAACACGAGCTTGCTTTTAACAAGTAAATTTTTTTTTATATTGCCTTTGATTTTTATGTAGTTATTACATTGAATTTATTTGCAGCATTCGATTTTGATAACATATTTCATTGCATTTGATTCTGAATTTCATTTCTTTTTTTACCAATATTTATTGATAATCATGACATACTCTGTATGATGAGTTTGTTTGCACAGAGCACAAAATAACTATATTTTTGATATGCTTCACATTCTTGTTTTTTGGGTTTTTTTTTTTTTTTTTTTTTTTTTTTTTTAGCTTTTTGTTTAATAATTTTCATTAAACATTAAGATGAACTCAAACCAATACAATTTAAGTCTCCACTTTGTTGGTAGTGTTTATGTAAATGTTGGACTATATTTTACAGGATATCAAGCTTCTGTGGAAAGGATTTGGAAACATGAAAGAACTACATGGATATTTCTTCTTGTGTCGCTCAAGCCAAGCATTCACGCCAAACGATGAAAATGTGTTTAGAAGTAGGCTGGATGAAGTTTTCGTAGACTGCTTGAAACCTACTCACATCATTATCAGAGGAAAATCTGATGATAGAATTGGTGACGAGATATCGTTGTACCTTGAAGAAATGATAGTTCAGAACCTCGTGACTGTTGAATCCGAACTACAGAAGTACACAACAGTCAAGAAACGATGCAACACACACAAACCCCTTTTAGAAGATGATTTGATCCGAACTGCAGTAAAATGTTTTCTCGAAGGGATTCCAATGTATGGCAAGGAAGCAAACGAAGATGAAGACAGTATTGAGGTCAAGATGAGTGAATTAACTCTTGATAAATGGCTACGTAAAAATGATAAAAGAATGACAGAAAAACTTGCCTTAATTGTCAAATGTTGTGTTGTTATAACTTTGTCTGGAAGACACAATATCATACCCCAACTATGTAACGAAATTCTGATCAGACAAAACTTCGAACAGAGGTGTATCTCAGAAAGTTTAATGTACTACGTGAACAGACTGTGGTATTGTGCCGAAGAATCTTCGTACAAATCTCTTCAGTCAGGTGCATATCATCATGTCCTCTCTTTGATAAAAGCTGATCTCGACCTCGTAACAGATATTGAACGTGACGTGCGTCAGTTTGCGTCCACGTTGAGGAAACTTCTGTTTGAGATAAGCGGTTGTTTTAAGAAGACCAAGGTAGATATTGAAAAGATAAAAGAACAAGCACCTGTAGTTAGTACAAAGGTTGGTGATAGTCTTCGGAAGGAAATACTCAGGTAATGTAATTTTTCATCTATAAAAGTTATATGCAAATCAAATTAAAATAAAATATAAACGAAATATTCTTATTTTATTTCCTAATTTACGTACATGTATATTAGATAATTGGTCATACCTCCATTACAAGGAAGTATAAAATCTGTTATTCATTATATATTTATCTAAACTAAAAATGTATACTTTTCAGGAGGAAGTTGTGCTTATCAAATATTCAAATGTTATGATAAACAAAATATGATTAAACCAATATAAAACTTGAAAAAAAAAGAAAAGATATTGTCAAAGCTAGTTTGAGAATATGTATTACATCAATGAAATATTTCTATTATTTCCAAGATTTAACTCAAGTATATGAATTATTCTCATAATTTATTGCAGTATAAAAGAAGTGTATGGTGTTGGTACAATATATGGTCAGTTGGAAATCCACGTGAATGAAAATAGCGCTGTTGAG